AAATGAGTATAGAAAAATGACAGAGAAAGACACACATGCAAGCTTTGAATCTAGCTTCATTTAACATTCACATTTGCTAAGAGAATCCTAAGGCTCTCCCCTGTTGATCCTACCACAGCCCGACTAATATAACTTCTAAGAGATGCATCCAAAACAAGTTGAATCAACAAATACTAGGAAAAATTCAATTACAATTACCATGAAACTTACAATTCACAGCACAGTCCCATTTATACACGCCATAATAGCAAATTTAGGTCATTATATTAACTGAAACATTTTTAAGGTTGAATATTACAAACATAAATGAGGTTGGACAAAATGAATGAGATCCAACATGGATTTCATCATTATTGTTCAAATTCCAAAGCCAGACTTCAAATACACCTAGGTGATGTCCATGGAGTTTTGGAGAATACCTGTTCACAGCAAACAAACAACACCAAAGCCTGAAGTTATGACCCAATTGCAGGAGCAGTTTAGCAAAGAAGATACAACAACAAAATCAATTCAAAACCAGTAATGGAATACTGACCAGCAGCATTCGAATCAGTCTTTGAATCCCAGAAAAAGAGAAAAGTTATGAAGATTTCAGAATCAGGATCAGTTGCAAAAACCAGTCTGATTTTACCAAAAAATGCAAGAATTCTCCAGTACTTTCAGCTCAACTTTTCATAATCCCTTTCAGAATTTTTACCTCTTTAGGAATCTCTTTAAAGGCAAGCTACTAGGGCAACTTTAAAATGTTCAGTTTTGCATTTTAGACCTTTTTGAATTTTCTTTTTGCTTAAAAATCCCTAGATTATTGACTTGTTGGCCAAGTAAAACCTATTTTCAGCTTCTAGGAAGCTTCTTCAGGTGGTTACCAAAAGATTTTCTAGATGAACTTACCCAAATTGCCCCCCCCCCCATACCCATGAAAATTACTTTAGTTTCAGCTCTCTAACCTTCAGCTTATGGGTCAAGTTAACCCAAGATTTAGCCCCAAAAACCAGATTGACTTCCCTTACTTTGGGCCTCAGATTTTAACAGGAACCCATCCCAATTTTATAATTGACAAGGCACACAACCCAAAATTCACAACCCAAATCAGTTACGAATTGCAATCAGAAACAAACAAAAACGAATTACTTAACACTAACATGAGAATCAAATAAATGCAACTAACATGCTTTCACTTTAATCATGCAAACATTGCTTCAACAAGTGAACAATAATAAGGCACAAAAAAGATGAACAGCAGAAGGTGACGATGGGGTGACGAACAATAGAATGGAGAAAAGGAGAAGAACAGGGGCATCTAATCAAGAGACGCAGATAAACGAAACTTGATGGAACCCGGACCTTTCGATTTCGAGCCGAACTTGGTCTCAATCATGCGTTCTTGTCAATAACGGACAAACGAGGCTAGTTTCGACTCTAAACCTCTTGCTAAAATTGGAGAAAATGTTAGGATATTCGTCCCCTGGAACTTCAAACCTTGGATTTCGGATTCGGCGAATTCTGGCCTCATTCGAGAAGAACTGGCTTGGGATTTGGAGAGAGGGGAGTGTGATGGTGATTTGGTGTTGATTTGGGTGAGGTTGGAGCTTTGTTGCCTGTGAAAATGGTGGATTAGGATTTTTTTAGAGGAGTAAGAGATGAAGAAGATGAAGGAGATGGGGCAGAACTGATTTGGTCTCTGGGGGTGGATTCAGACACTTTTAAGAGAAATGGGAAAAGTGTGGGAACCGTTGGATGTGTTAGATTGAAGGGCTCAGATTCATTTTAGATTGGGAACTCGAAACTACGTCATTTGTGGTATTAGGAAAGGCTGACCGGGTTGGGTGTAATATTGGGCCTGGAATTGGGACGGGTATGGAGAATAAAGAGTGGGCTCGAGTGAAAATTGCTGAAGACTGACCCAAACTACTTCCTTCTCATTCTAATTTTTTTCCTTTTCATCATTTTGCACAAATTCTTTTCTTTTTCTATCTTTTTTTTCAAAAATCAAAACTAAAATCCTAAATTAAGTTATAAAGCCAAATTAACTTATCAAAAATACTAATTAATCATAAATAATTACCACAATTAGTAAATTAAATGAAAATTACTCAACATCAAAATTGAAATTAAAAGGATACAAATTAAACTATTTTTTGTGATTTTCCTTCTTATAAAATAACTTAATTACTAATTAATTCCTAAAATGCAAAATTAACTCCTAAATGCACATGCAACACATTTTTTGTATTTTTCATAAATTAAAATAAAATAAACATGCACAAACAAATGCAAATATTTAACATAAAATGCCACGAAAATCCATAAAATTGCAAATAATGAAAAGAAATTATTTTGTTTTGAAATTATGGGAGTAATTCATATAGGGCAAAAATCACATGCTCACACTACTGTATGCAATAGAAATAGACAGGAACATAAAGACAAAAGAGAGACTCCAGCTATTGCAGATCGGCTGGGAAGGGCAGCTCATCGGAAAGTCTCGAGCTGAGATGACCACTCTATGCGCCAGAGTGATGCCTCACAGAAGTAGTGACGAGGGGTCGACTTCGATGCTTACTAGGCCAGCAAATAATATGAAGTTCAACATATTTCATTCACGGTGCATGTAGATAACAATAAGCTCAAACAAAAATGATTATTGAAAATCCTTTCATCCATATAATAAAATAAAGCACTTTCCTCATTTAAATTAGTGACCTTTCCAGCAATAAGTCATACAAATTATAAGGGTTACGGTTCTATTATCACACACAAATACCACCGAGGACGATCGACCCGATCCAACATAAAAATAAAATATGCACAACCAAGGGTCGAACGACACGAACCATAGATGCATCTATCCATCCCGCTCGTCAATCATACATGCGACGCGGTAAAAATATAACCCCACTTGCGAATCATACGTGCGGCGTGGTAAACATAATTTTTATCATTTAAATACAAAAATTCTTTAATGCCCTTTTTACAAAAATGATTACAATTCACTTGAAGCCCGTAAATCTTTAGATTTCCTTCAACTTAATTCCGTTCATACCATTAATATATATAAGCAATTAATAACGACCACGAAGCATGATGTGATCCTAGAGCTAGCCGGACATAACTGGAATAGTAGCTATATACGGACTCTCGTCAATTCGTGCGTACGTAGCCCCCACAATTAATCATATAATAATTAAGTACACATATGGGGACATTTCCCCCCACAAGGTTTGAAAAGAGACTTACCTCGTCCCAAAGCCTATATCTCGATTCAAGAATGTGCTCAAAACCTTCAATTCGAAGCCGAACGATCCAAAACTAATCAAACGAGGTAAGAACTAGTCAATACAAGCTCAAGAGTTCATATTCTAGCTATTAGAGTAATTTTTCAACCCTAATTGCAAAGTTCCTAAAATTCATCTCTAGGCCCACGTGCCCGGATTCTGGATATTTTTTAAGAAAGTCGTTACCCATAACCTAAGGATCAAGAATATATGATTTTTACTCCATTCCATAATAAATTTTGTGGTTAGATCTTGTTTTTATTAAAACCTTATGTTTTATTCTAATCTCATAATTTTCACTAATTTTTATGTATTAATCTACCCAAAACACAAGTATTAAACTCACATTAAGTGAAAATAACTTACCTCACAATGATAGGTTGAAATCCCATCTTTGGAAGCTCCCAAATTGCCCAAGTCTAGAAGTGAAATGAAATAAATGGCCTAAGTCCCGTTTTTAAAAGTTGTGTCCAGGTCTGTGATGTTGCATTTGCGACATCAGGTTCGCAATTGCGACAAAACCATCGCAAATGCGAACCTGGGCATCCTCCGCAGATGCGACAAAAGGGTCGCAAATGCGACGACTGCCTAGCTCAGGCTCCTTCGCAATTGCAAAGCCTTTCTCGCAAATGCAGTCATTGCAAATGAGAACAATTTCTCGCATTTGCGAGACTTGCAACACTGCCCATAAACACCATAAAACTGGAGTGTTTTCACTCCCAACACTCGTCCGAAACTCACCCGAGCCCTCGGGGCTCCACACTGAATACTCACACAAGTCTAACAACTTCATACAAACTTGTTCGTGCGATCAAATCACCGAAATAACACCTAAAACTACGGATTTTACACCAAAACACGTGAAATCCTTAAGAACATTTAAAATTTCTATTTTTAAAACCGGACGTCCGAATCACGTCAAATCAATCTTGTTTCTCGCCAAATTTTGTAGACATGACTTAATGTTATATTGGATCTGTACCGGGCTCCGGAATCAACATACAGGTCTGATACCATCATGATCAAACATTATTCATTTTCTTTAAATCCGTAGATTTTCAGTTTAACAATTTTTAACAAAAATTCATTAATCGGGCTAGGGACCTCGGAATTCTATTCCGGGTATACGTCCAAGCCCCATATTTTACTATGGATCCTCCGGGACTTTCAAAATACGAGTCCGGGTCCGTTCATTAAAAATGCTGACCGAAGTCAAACTTGGTCTTTTAAGTCAACCTTAAGGAACCAAGTGTTCCGATTTCAACCCAAACTCTTCTAAATCCCGAACCAACCAACCTCGCAAGTTATAAATCAGCTAAAGCAAGTAAGAGAAGTCTTATTTAGGAAAGCGGGATTTTAGAAAGCAAAACGACCAATCGGGACGTTACAGCTGATTTAAAGAATTTATTGTATCCGATAAGGTTAATATCAACAAACAACAATCACAATTGATCGAGAAAATGATTTGTTGTGGCCACTTATAATTTGAATTGATAGATAGGTAGATTAGGAAATGACCTTTTCAGATATATTTCAAATCTCTTATGCGTAAAAGTAAATTTAACATTCCGTTTTGTTAATTTTATTTAAATATATTGCGTACATGATAACATTATTAATGGATTTACATCTTTTGCTCTGAATGCTCAATACCTTAGGATAATACTTAATAATAGTAACTAGTAAGGTATTTTTTAAAAAAAAAAAAAAAAAAAAAAACTCGGTCTAGCTCTGATCAGGTTCCCGAAAGCTCTGCTCTATGAGCTTCACAAATTCACGAAATTCAATTCTTCCATTTTTGTTTTCATCAAAGGCCATAATCATCTTTTTGCAATCCTCCACTGAAAATTCAGAGAAACCCATTCTCCCAATAATTTTCATCAACTCACTTGCATCAATATATCCATCTCCATTTTCATCAAACATATCAAAAGCTTCTTTAATTTCTTCAAAACTAGGCTCTACTTCCTCAAACAAACTCAAAACCTCGGCCAACTCTGGCTTAATATCCTCAATTCTATCCCCATTTTGGTTGCAGAAATTCATTAACCTATCCATAATTACAACCTCAACATCTTCCTTTTGTAAATCCTCATTATCCAGATTTTCATGGCCACAGTTTGAATTTTTCAAGCTGTTTGATGAATTTTTAGCGTTAGCATTAGAATTATCATACTTACCTCGAGTCCAGGATTTTTGGACAGTGACGAAGAAGGCAAGAATGGCTCGGAATAAAAAAGAAAAACAAGAATAGAAATCTTGAAATGTATTTCGGATGCTGAGAATGGTACACCTTAAAATGATACAAAAAAATTGTTTGAGATCATCAGCTAGATTCTTGCCCAATAATGAGAGGCTACTTGCTGAGATTGAAAAAATCTTCTCCATTGCAAGCTTCTATAGATTAATTTTCTTCTTTAGAGCTATTAATTAACTCTCTTGTTGGAATTAATATTAACTCAATGGAATGTTTGTACAAGTGAACTCTTTCTATATATAAATAGACAGGTTAAACAAGTCTAGTCTTTGTGGAAATCAAATTTCCTACCATATATATAGCATACATATAAAAAAAAAGTCATGCATTATTGATTCCTTCTTTATTGGAGTTATTGCCTAAGTCGACAATGGTGATTTCCTCGTAATTTACTTTTGTATTAATAGAATCCAATAATGCGTGTTGCAGCAGCAATATACGACACCTTTAAGAATTAAAAAGTGTGTTTACACACATATTAAAAGTGTTGAAATGGTCGAGAAAATTGAATTTTAATTTTTAGTTCAATTTTTCAGGACACAAAGTTCTGAATTTAAAAATTTAAATTTAAATTTCCAGGACAAAATAAGTATATGCTAAACTCTAAATAGTATTCCTAAAAATAGATGTTCGCGTTCTTTCCCAATAGTAACTATCCTTGGCTTCAAATGACGATATCAATACTTACTGAATAAGGGTCAAATCAGTTGGCTAAATTACTTGACGGGCCCATAAACAATAATTAATCAAGGAGAAAAATAATCCTTATTCTTGAATACCAACCAAAGTCTTATTTGTGTTCAGATTTTATGAAATTTCGCAGAAAATTAATGGAAGCAAAATTATGATATCTCGTGCAAAGCGTGAGCGCGCTGGCCAGTGGCCACATATATACTGACATACACACATGACACATGCATATTTATTCATTTTTGTGAAGAATAAAATAACTATAGCGCGTTAATTTGCTCAACTAAGAAAAGAAAAGGGATACTTGTATTGGGTATAGACTCTCCAATATATAGGAGGATTTCGAACAATTAGTCATGAACAGTGCGAAGGGTATTCAAAATCTTTTTATTTTTACCTATATCAAGTAATAATTTACCCTATATACCGTATAATTTTTCGCCTAAAAATATTCAACACATAGTTTCGCCCCTGGTTATGAGTTGTATACAATGTATGGCATAAACGGATGGAAATTTTCTGATAAAGAGCGTTTTCCTCTTACATGGTTCCACAGGTGGTGCACTAAATTAGTCGGGTTAATAATTTTCAAATATCAAATAGTTAAAGTATTAAACCAAAAGAAAAAACGGTGTGTCATGTATTTTACTTGGACCCCGGATTACCTGTATAGGTCCAAATTTAAACGGCCACGACCACTACTGAGTACGATGAGGAACGAGGTCCTTACGATGTAGCGTCCTTTGGTCATTATAAAGAGTGATGACCGACAGTGGTTAGCGGACGTACGATGTCTGCAGTAGAGTAAGCATAGTAGGATATTGTGGGAATATGCTTTTCAAATATTCTTTATGTTATACCTTTTTAGGGTTTAAAAGGGGATTGTCCATAATAAATAGAGGGAGACCACTTTATAAAGAGGGAGAGAAAGTGAATGCAAAAAAGACAACTTTGCTTACTACAGATCTGAAATCCATACATCATCTTTTATCTTGGTCAATCACATTCATTGCAATATTTTTCTACATTTGAAGTTAACACATTTATGAATAATCATTTGTATCCGACAGCCTAGAAAGCATCATTCACCTTATTCCTCTCTTGCATCATTTAATCTAGATTTTATTATACTTGGCTGAGATTTACCTCTTCATCTTCATTAATTGATTTAATAAAAAAGGTTTCAATATCTTTTGGTCAAACAAATACTCTGAACAACATACTTGATAAACCCGCCCAAAGGGATAACAGGAATGTGGCACATGCAGATGTCACGACAATCGTTGATGAGCAAGATACCCCCCGTACAGGTAACACTCATGTTGTTGATGATGGAGGTAATGATACACTTGCAGCCGTTTTAAAGAAAATGGAGGAGATGGAGAATGAGAATAAGGCACTCCGTGACCAGATGAAGGGGCACCTAGAGAGGGTTGACAAAATACCGGGCGCCCCAAAGTTGTTGCCAAAACGGGACGTTGGTCGATTCATCAAGCAACCATACAATGAGGAGGCAGCCCCCAACACCATTCCAAAGACCTTCAAAATGCCACCATACCTGAAGATATATGACTGTACCACCAATCCAAAAGATCATATCATTCACTACGTCACAGCCGTGAAAGGTAACGATCTTTCAAAAGAACAGGTACCATCGGTGCTACTAAAAAAGTTCGGCGAAACCCTAACAGGGGGAGCCCTGACCTGGTACTCCTAACTACCAGCACGGTCGATAGCAACGTTCGAGGAAATGGCAGACAAGTTTGTCACCATCCATGCAGGAGCTAAAAAGGCAGAAGCTAGTGTGAACAACATCTTTATTGTTAGGCAAATGCATGGCGAGGGACTCAGGGACTTCTTAGCCCGGTTCAATAGGGTGAGAATGAGCTTACCAAATGTGTCAGAAGGAACGGCGGTAGAAACCTTCCAGAACAGACTGAACAGGAACGGGTCGAGAGCGACCAGAAAATTGCTAAGCAGGCTCATGAAATACCCTCCAACCACTTGGGAAGAAATCCATAACTCTTACTACGCCGAGGTAAGAGCTGACGAGGACAAACTTAACGGTTTGATCCAATAGTTGATGGCAGTTCAAACTAAAGCAAGGAAAGATCGTTGTAACGACGTTCGAAGAGATCAGTTGGGGCCTCATTTCGGCCGAGAAAGGCATCAGCCCTATGTCAGGACATCTATCCCCCCCCCCTCCGCGGCACACGGATGCTCCTCCTCGACATGCAGCGCCACATCGACACGAAAAAGGTATGCCTCCGCTTTTTTGTGTCTCTCCTTTAGAAATAGTGTACGCACTGGAGAAACTCGGTACCGAGGTACATTGGCCACAAAAGATGAAGTCCGACCCAAACACTCAAAAATCGAACGCTCTCTGCGAATTCCACCAGGAAAGGGGTCACAAAACCGAAGATTGCATAGGACTGCAGCAGGAGGTAGTGAGAATGCTAAATCAGGGACACCTGAAAGAATAGCTGAGCGATGGAGGACGGGCTAACTTTTCCCGCAGACATAAGCAAACCCAGGGACCTCCAAAATCGCATTCTCCCGCTCGCACTATACAAATGGTCATCGGTGGTGGCGACGACACAACAATCAACCATGTAAAGTTCACCACCACAGATAAACTCAAATGGTCAATCACTCATGAACGATATGAGGATCTCGAAGATAGTATCGTCTTTGATAAGTTGGATGCCAGCGGTTTGTCTTTCCCTCACTACGATACTCTTGTTATCACTTTACGTATTGCAAATACTGATGTGAAAAGAATAATGGTAGATGACGGGAACGGCGTGTGTATTATCCATCCTCGAGTCCTCACACAGATGAGACTCAAAGATAAAATAATACCGCGTTGCATAACACTAACAGGTTTTAATAATGCGGTCGAGCGGACTTCTGGAGAAATATTACTACCCGTCCTAGCCGGAGGATTTACCCTGGAAACGATGTTTCACGTCATGGACTAGGATACAACCTACAATGCTATCATAGGGTGCCCGTGCATACACGCCATACGAGCAGTCCCATCCAGTCTCTATCAAGTAATCAAGTTTCCTACTCCATGGGGGTATTCAGCATCTGAGGCGAATAATGCACCGCACAAGAATGCTATCACATTGCGTTGTCGGGAACCAAACTTGACGTACGAACAGACGTTATCAAAAATCCCAACATCGTGGAAGAATCCGAGTCGACAATAGGGGATCTCGATCCCATCCAACTAGACAGCAATGACAGTAGAAAAAAGGCTTATATCGGGCATAACATCTCGAAACCAGGTAAGATTCGTAAATTCTTAACTAACAATGCCGATCTGTTTGCCTTCTCCCATGCAGATATGCCAGGTATCCCGAGAGACATCGCCACGCACAAACTGAATGTTGACCCCCTCTAACTGCCAGTACGACAAATAATAAGTAAGTTCAACGCCGCAATCAACGAAGCCATCAGTGAAGAAGTCGATAAGTTGCTCACAAATGGCTCCGTCCGAGAGTCAAAATATCCCAGTGGGTCGCCAATGTGGTCATGGTAAAGAAGAAAAACGTAAAGTGGTGGATGTGTGTAGATTTCACAGACCTAAACAAGGCTTGTCCAAAAGATCATTTCCATTGTCGCACATCGTCCAACTCATCGACGCAAAAGCAGGACACGAGTTGCTAAGCTTTTTAGATGCCTATTCGGGTTACAACCAGATCCTCATGGAGGAAGAAGACCAGGAGAAAACCACTTTAATCACTCACCAAGGAACATACTGCTATAAGGTCATGCCATTCGGACTAAATAATGCAGGGGCGACATGCCAGAGACTGGTCACCAAGATGTTTAAAAATCAATTCGGCAAAACAATGGAAGTTTACATTGATGACATGTTGATTAAGTCTAAAAGGAAAGAAGATCATATCGATCATCTGAAGGAAGACTTCGACATATTAAGATAGTATGGCATGAAGCTAAATGCCAAAAAATGCACCTTCAGCGTAACCTCGGGCAAATTCCTCGGTGTCCTAGTATCGCAAAGAGGCATCGAAGTTAACCCAGATTAGATTAAGGCCATCGAAGAATACCGAAAATGTTAACCAGCAAAAAATAGGTACAAAAACTGACAGGTCAAATAGCCGCCCTGTCAAGGTTCATTTCATGGTCGTCAGACAGGTGTCATAAATTTTTCAGTGTGCTAAAGAAAGACAATAGGCTCCAGTGGAATTCGGAGTGCGTCGATGCCCTAAGAAAAATGAAGACCCACTTGTCATCACCATTGTTACTCGCCAAGGCAGAACCAGGCGAATGCTTCCTTGTCTACCTAGCCGTCTCTAAAGTCACGGTAAGCGCGGTTTTGGTCCGTGAGAGCAAAGGTACACAATCTCCGATTTACTATATCAGCAAAACTTCAGTTGACGTCGAAACTAGGTATCCCCACCTCGAAAAATTGGCTCCGGCACTGGTCGTAGCTTCATGAAAGCTTAGACCATATTTCAGTGTCACCCCATAAAGGTGGTGACAACTTTTTCCCACAGAAGCATTCTGCACAAACCCGAGTTGTCGGGTAGATTGGCCAAATGGGCCATAGAATTGAGCGAACACGATATAACATATTAACCGCGAACAGCAATAAAATCGCAAGTACTCACCGACTTTGTCGCTGACTTCAGTGCGGGAAGTACTATCTGAGGTCGAGCAAGAAGCGCTTCGCGCTCTCCTGGGCGACCCAACCTCTGGGTCCTCTACACTAACGGCGTATCCAATACGTTGGGATCCGGACTAGGACTCGTACTTGAAATCCCAACGGGCGAAGTGATTTTCCAGTCCATATAGTGCCCTGAAATGACTAACAATGAGGCCGAGTATGAGGCCGTAATTGCAGGACTGAAATTGACCCTCAAGTATGGTGCACGACGAGTCATCCTCCGTTGCGACTTATCGTAAACCAAGTTAGTAGGACTTTCCAGATCAAGGAGCAGAGGCTATAGAAATACCGTACTGAAATCCACAAGTTGCTTCCAGAATTCGACGAATGCCAACTCGACCAAATACCGCGGGCGCAAAATATCGAAGCGGACGGTCTCTCTAAGCTGGCAGCAGCAACTAAAAATATCACCAAGGAGAACGTGGTCACCCTCCTCCACTCATCAATAGACCAAATCGAGGTAAATTCTATAAATTTAACTTGGGACAGGCGTAACCACATCATATCGTATTTGTAGGAGGGAGCACTCTCACAAGATAAAAAAGAAGCCAAAAAGCTTCGAATACAAGTAGCCAGGTACAGCCTTATCAACCACGACCTTTACAAAAGGAGGTTCGGCGGTCCCTTGGCCAAATTCCTTGGACCAAATCAAACAAGGTGTGTGCTCGAAGAGGTACATGAGGGCCACTGCGGTGCCCATACAGGCAACCGGGCCCTCCTCAGATGTCTTATTCGTACAGGATACTACTGGCCCACTATGAAAAAAGAGGCCGCAGATTACGTCAAGAAATGTGAGCAATGCCAGAAATACTCCCCTATGATGCACCAGGCGGGCGAGCTCCTCCACTCCATCACCTCTCCATGGCCGTTCATAAAATAGGAGATGGATATCGTCGGACCCTTCCCAACAATGTGAGGTAAGATGCTTCCATTTGATTTTAACTGATAACTTTTCCGTATGGGTGGAAGCAGGTGCGTTCGCTCAAATACGAGAACAAGAAGTCATCGCGTTCATCTAGAAAAACATCACATGCCACTTCGGCATCCCCAAAGAAATCAGTTGCGACAATGGACCTTAGTTCATCGGGAAAAAGACGACTGAATTCTTCAAAAAATGGCACATCAAGCGGATACTCTCTACGCCATATCACCCTGCAGGCAACAGTCAAGCGGAATCCTCCAACAAAATAATATTGAATATATTAAAGAAAATGCTCGAGGACGCCGAAGGTCTCTGGCCGGAACTGCTACCAGAGGTATTATGGGCCTACCGCACAATGCCAAAAACCAGTACAGGTGAGACACCGTATTCACTGGTCTACGGTACCGATACAATTATACCCGTCGAAGTCAGAGAACCCAGCCTGATGTACTCCAATAAGAGTGGATCGAGCAATGACGAAAACAGAATACAAGACCTGGACGAGGTAGAAGAACGAAGGGACATGGCTCACATAAGAATAATAGCCCAAAAACAACAAGCAGAAAGGTACTACAACAAGAAGGCCAAAGTACGACCACTCAGAGTTGGGGACTACGTCCTCAAGGCTAAAACACAAACAGCAAAAGACCCAAATGAAGGAAAATTGGGAACACACTAGGACGGGCCATATAAAATCACAACAGCAGCAAGCAAATGAGCATTCCAGTTGGAAAAAATGGAAGGAAAACTACTACAAAACAACTAGAATGCTGCCCACCTCAAATATTTCCATTTCTGAGAATTTACGTCACCTAAGTCATAATCTTTTTCCATCACCCGGGTTTTGTCCCAGTCGGGTTTTCTCGGGGAGGTTTTTAACGAGGCGACAAGGGGGATGTCTCGATGTTCAAAGTACAATTCATCGCCCGACCTGCCGATAACATCTCCAGGCCGAGCACTGAAGGGACTAGGTACAAGGATATTACTCCATAAAAAGCACTAAATTGATATGTATCTCCAACGCATGAATGAAATTACTCTGTTGAATGTACAAAATCAATGAATGAATGAAACAGGCATACGCGACACCCCATGGATAAGGCCATCGCCATAGAAGAGTTCGACACCAATCGCACCACGGCGGGTTAACATTTCGACTAAGTCAAAATAACACCCCATGGCCAAGGCCATCGCCATAGAAGAGTTCGACACCAGTCGAACCACGATGGGTTAACATTTCGATTAAGTCAAAATAACACCATATGGCCAAGGCCATTGCCACGGAGTTCGATACCATTCGAACCACGACGGGTTTATATTTTGACACTAAGTCGAAATAACACCCCATGGCCAAGTCCATCGCCACGGAGTTCGATACCACTCGAACCACGACGGGTTAACATTTCGACATTAAGTTGAAATAATACCCCATGGCCAGGGCCATCGCCACGAAAGAGTTCGATACTATTTGAACCACGACGGGTAACATTTCAATATTAAGTCGAAATAACACCCCATGGACAAGGCTATCGCCACGAAAAAGTTCAATACCAGTCGAACCATGACGGGTTAACATTTCAACATTAAGTCGAAATGGCACCCCACGACTAAGGCCATCACCATAGGAATGAGTTCGACATCACTCAAAATACAACGGAATAATGCTTTGACATTAGCTCGAAAGCAACATCCCTATAGCTAAGGCCGTTACCAAAGGAAAAAGCTCGACATAAGAGCAATATCGCTCGAAATGCAATAGGTAACATTTTGACAACTCGGAATAAGCACGACTACAACAAAAGACGTTGCCAAATAAACAAACATGACAAGAAAATAATTCATAGGTACACAATAAAAAATAATTGCTCAATTACAGTTGTTGTATTACAAAAGTTTTTTACAAAGGGCTCAAAAACGCCCCTACAAAAATGGCAAAGCAAAATAAATACAGCCAAGTCCTATTACGTATCACCCCCCTCCCCCGTGACATACTCCTCATTGTACCAATAATCAGAGGTGAGCTTGTCTGTATCGTCGAAATCGACATCGTCTCCACCAGGCATAACGGGGTCGTAGCCACATGCCTCTCTAGCGGCGCACGCTTTAATACGCACCTCTCGGAGTTCCGCCTTAGATATCTTCCCATCAGCATGAAGAGACTTATATACATCAAGTTGGGCTTCGGCATGGACACATAGCTCATATAAATCTCAAGACATGACAGGTCGTCCGAAGCATGGGAAGTAGAAGGCTACGACTATCGTCGTACATCCCCCCACTTTCAAAGTAGCAACTTATTCGTTTAAAACGGACAATTCCGCCTCCAGTTCTTGAATATGCCCCTCAAATATCGCTACCTT